CGTTTGTCGACAGCCAGGAAGTCTGGATCGGGAGGAAATCGAAAACCGGAAGCCGCTGAGACGACAAAGAGAGTTGCCGGTAGTTTCAAGCGAAACCCTAACCTCTCTCTCCGAGATGCCGCAAATAAGCTGGGTGTATCGTCTACAACCGTGCATCGAGCCAAAAAACGAGCCGGACTATCGACTTACAAGAAGGTAGTGACTCCAATTCGCGATGATAAACAAAATACGACGGCCAAAGCGCGATCCCGGAGGCTGTACACGACGATGCTGACGAAGTTTGACTGCGTGGTAATGGACGACGAAACCTACGTCAAAGCCGACTACAAGCAGCTTCCGGGACAGGAGTTTTATACGGCAAAAGGAAGGGGAAAGGTAGCAGATGTTTTCAAGCACATGAAACTGTCAAAGTTCGCAAAGAAATATCTGGTTTGGCAAGCCATCTGTACCTGTGGCTTGAAAAGCAGCATTTTCATAGCTTCCGGGACTGTCAACCAAGAAATTTACGTGAAAGAGTGTTTGAATAAAAGTCTGCTGTCTTTCCTGAAGAAACACGGTTGTTCCGTACTGTTTTGGTCGGATTTGGCATCTTGCCATTACGGTAAAAAGGCCATGGAGTGGTACGCCGCCAACAACGTGCAGGTGGTTCCCAAAGACAAGAACCCTCCCAACACGCCAGAGCTCCGCCCAATTGAGAAATACTGGGCTATTGTCAAGCGGAACCTAAAGAAGACCAAAAAAACTGCTAAGGGCGAGCAGCAGTTCAAGGCAAACTGGCTTTCTGCGGCGAAGAAGGTGGACAAGGTGGCTGTACAAAATCTGATGGCAGGGGTCAAGCGTAAGGCCCGGCAATTCGGATTTGGAAAAGCGGAAGCCTAACTGAATATATTTCCTGAATTTTATACTAATTGAACATGAAAAAGAAATTTAATTTGATTTTTTAAATAAACGATTTCACCGATTTACACGCGTTTTCCCTTGACCAAATTTTGACCGTATCACCCTTTATAACGTTAACCAATAAAGACGTGTTTCAATAGTACTCTACAATTGGTCCCAGGATCCCTAACCGGAAGATTCAGAAGGTTTTTTCATTGAAGCAGCAGTATGTCCACAAGCGGAAGTTTGGGATCCGGACAGCAAGGTCAAGGGAAAGGAGATGGCAACGGGAAAGGCAGGACTGAAGCAGGAAGCGTTCGAGTCAGAAGTTCCGTTGCGCTGCCAGCCATTGAAAAGCTGAAAAGAAGAGAGAATTATACGATGTTATCATTTGCGATGCGAATGATTCTGATCCGTGAAGGAAGCTGGTCTGCCATTGACCGAGACGGTGAAGATGTTCCTGAGGACGTGAAGTTGCAGGCTCCCGCAACGATCTGCCCGTAGTCTGGAGAGCTACAACTACAGCCTGGTTCAGCCTGGACGAAGCTGCAATCTGCATTCCAGGCCAGCGGATTAACCAGGAAAATTGGGCTGCTCAGAAAATTCACGTCAGCACGGCTAATCAATTGTGCTAGCGTTGAGGCGTACGTGGACGAATTGATGAGCACAAGTCACAAGCTCGCATCCGTGGGATTCAAGGTGGACGATTCTTGGCTCGCGGCGATTCTGTTGATGGGACTTCCTGAGCTATACGAGCCCATGATCATGGGACTCGAAGCGTCCGGTACGGCCTTGACAGCGGATGCAGTGAAGGCTAGCACAGCAGCAGCAGCACAGAAGGTACCATGTACAGCAAAAACGAGCCGAAAGAAGTCCGGCGAGCTAAAGGACGGTAACAAATTTTGCAGCTAAATGTCCCCTATGCCAAAAAGTCGTCTTTGAAGCCAAGCAAGTCAAAAGGACTGTGCTGTATTTTCGCTATTGGAGATTTAATTCGGATCAACCTTTCGTCAACGCGGTTGCCATGGACCATGACGTTGGAGCAGCAAACAACAGCAACATGAAGGCCGTTGCAAAGCGAACGGTTTCCGTGGAAACTGCAGAAGGAAGCATGGAAGTTGCTAATGTGTTGACAATTCCGGACTTAGCAACCAACCTGTTATCGGTCAGTGCGAAGTCTGGGATGAAAGCGGCGAGCTTGTCATTACCAGAGTTGAAGAAGGCGGTTTCTATCGTGTCAGTTGGCCGGAAAAATCGTTTCTGGTTAACAGCATCGAGTTGTGGCATAGACGTCTTGGCCATTTGAATGAAGGAAGCTTGAAGAAAATCAAGGAAGTGGCTAACGGAATCGACTTCAAGAATGAAGCACTTACCAATTGTGTGTCGTGTCCCACGGGCTCACAGGTACGATTTTCGTTTCCCACCAGTGGTTCAAGAGTGAAGGAATTGCTAGAGCTAGTGCACTCCGACCCCGTGGAGGTGCCATCGTTTGGAAGAAGTCGCTACTTTATTACCTACGTGTAGTGTTCTTTCTTGAAATTGAAATTCAAGAAATTCAAAGCTAGAGCCGAGAGACAAAGATTGCGTACAGACAATGGGACTGATCAACGAAAGTTTCCGTGAAGTTCTGGAACGTGAAGGTATCCTGCATCAAACCACGTGTCCGTATACGCCTGAACAGAATAATATTGCAGAACTCATGAACCGTACGTTGGTGGAGAAAGCACGGTGTATGCTCAACGATGCAAAGCTTGGTAAACAGTTTTGGGCGGAAGCAGTTTCGACAGCTGCCTATCTGGTCAATCGATGTCCAGCGCGGTCATTGGAGAACATAACGCCAGAAGAGGTGTGGTCTGGAAAGAAGCCGCATCTCAAGCATCTCAAGATTTTTGGATCTCAAGTGATGGCACACGTTCGGAAAGTGAAGCGGAAGCAGTTCGATTCGAAGGCCAGAAAAGCGATCTTCGTCGGCTATTGTGAGGACACCAAAGGCTATCGTTTGTACGACCCTGACAGCGGTGAGTTTCAAATCAGTTGAGATGTTGTAGTCCTAGCAGAAGGTGAATCAAGTCCAAGCCTAACGAGTGATCAAAATGCACAACCAGTGGGAGTTCATGGAGCTGAATTTCCAAGAGCTGTTGGTACCAATCAGCGCTAGCAGTACGAAGTCGTTGTAGTTTCTTCTGATGGTGAAGATGAAGACATCGAAGAGTTTGCGGATGCAGCTGAAAACGCGCTCCCATCGCAACTGAATAGACCAGCTGATTTGTAGCGATCGGCAGCGCAGTTATCCAGGCAAGTACAATGATTACATTAGCTTTGGAGCATATTCTGGTGATACCATTTCCCCCCATTTACCTCCTGATTTTACCAACGGTGAATGTGCGCTGGACGATCCAACGACTTACGAAGAAGTTCTGCAACGGCCTGACAAAGACCATAGGGGTTCAAACTGCACTGAGCGAGAACAGCACGTGGGTGCTTGCGGATCTGCCTGAGGGGCGGAAAGCGATTCGGAACAAATGGGTGCTCAAAGCGAAGCGTGGACCTGATGGAACCGTTCAGCGGTACAAAGCTCGTCTCGTCGTGAAAGGATCCTCGCAGAGGCCAGGACTAGATTACGACGAGGTGTACTCTCCCGTAGTACGGTATGCGACGAATCGTTACCTCATGACGTTGGCGGTGAAATACGATCTGGACATCGATCAGATAGACGCAGTTACAGCCTTTTTGCAAGGAGAGCTGAACGATGAGGAGATCTACATGCTGCAGCCGCAGGGGATAGAAGCAATCAAGCCGAGTATGGCATGCGTAGCTGGATGGCGTGCTTCAGAAGTTCGGACTGATTCGTTCCTCAGTAGATTGTTGCCTGCACTGGATGATGTGTGGAGCCAAGCTGATGTTCGTCACTATTTACGTAGATGATTTTCTGATCTTCACCAACGATCAGAATCTGAAGCGAAAGCTGAAGACGTATTTGAGCGAACGATTCAAGATGAAGAATCTCGGTGAAACCAAGTATTGTTTGGGAATCCGGATTACGAGGCATCAAGCAGAAGGAAAGTTCTGGCTCGATAAACAGGCGTACATCGAGGAAATCATTCAGCGTTTTGGAATGACCGAATCGTATCCTGTAGCAACGCCCGCTTATTCCAGTTTAAGACTGGACAAATCCTCTATGGGACCGACAAACCAGAACGAAGCCGAGGAGATGAAGAAAGTTCCTTTCAAAGAAGCTGTTGAATGTCTGTATATCGTAGCCCAGGTAACTCGTCCGGACATCGCTTTTGCGGTGAATGCAGCTAGTCAGTTCAGCGCCAATCCGGGACGTCAGCGTTGGGAGGCCGTCAAGAAGATAATTCGGTACTTGAAAGTATTCCAAGCGAGGATCATCGGAACTAGTCGGATTAAACGTTAACCAATAAAGACGTGTTTCAATAGTACTCTAGAATTATGTCCATTCTGTTTCAAAAGTTATGAGTTGCAAAATCATATCAAATAACAGTCAAATCCAGGAATACAACGTGTTTAAAAGGACACAATCTATCGTATTTTACTTATCAGGAAAGATACCACCAGGAGTTTCACTGCCTGTTCTGCCTTCCCTTTCCCCGCGCTGCTTTTGCCCACTTAAGGCTCAAATTCACGGTTCAAGTGAGTTGATTCAACTCACCCTCGATGTGGTGTTTGGTGCTGAAGTGACTTGAAAGCGAACTTCATAAGATCGACATCGACCAGCTTTCGGGTCGTTCATTGTGCAGTTCAAGTCACTTGAACTCCGGATTGAATCGTCTAATCCGGACTTTACTGATGAATTTATTCAACCTGAACTTAAACGAATCTTGGAGAGGATTTTACCAGACTTCTTTAATTGTTTACTTATGCATCCTGCACACTCCTAGTGGTGCATAGGGCTAACGTGAAAGATTTCGATCCTAAGTGGCTGCTCGCTTTTGCCTTGACGTGGACCCAGGTCAGATTTCTGTTGACTTTCCGCCGCCATGAGCCCCCGTGCAGAGTGTAATACCCCCTTAATAACCGTCTGACAACTTTGGATCCAATAACGTTGGTTGATTGTTGCTGTCATCAATGTTTTGCAAAGCGATGACTCTTTGTTTGGGACGATTATCGGGTGCTTGACATCGAAGGAATACGCCGAGTGCTGTAATCGCCCTCCAACCCGAAGCGTGCTGGCTTGAAATGCTGGATTTAACTGGAACTTCCTCTCCGCGTACCAGAGCCTTGGTTTGACTTGCATAGGAATCCTACTGCTACAGTCGTACAAACTGCATTCGAGCCTGATGCAACTCCGATGGCAAAATAGAACCGTATTGCTTGTCGTTGCCGGTTACCTTGCACTTCATATTGTAGACGAATCTCCGAACGCGAGCCAGCTGCCATGACGTTGCTTGTGGCTGGAAGACTAACGGAAACATTGAGTGATTGAAAACGTTTACGAACCTCCAGTGATTGTGTTTCGTTTCCACATAGCTGAATCGTCGGACAACCATGCGGGCCCCGTCCACCACAGGGGATGGATGGCAAGTTCCAGCCGAGAGATCCCACGGGAAGCGCAATCAGCAGGATTTTCGTTTGACACAACATGTGCCCAGTGCTTTCTCGGCAAGATGTCCAGAATCGAAGAGGTTCTATTCGCCATGTGGATGTTCCACTGGCGGGGTTGGCTGGATAGCCACTGCAAAACGATGGTAGAATCCGTCCAGGCGTACTGCTCGATCTGGTATCGCTTGAGTGCATGCGCTAACTGGTTCATCAGTTTCGGCTGCATTGAGCTCCAGACGGGGAATGGAGATTTGTCGTACAGGAGCGACCTTGGTTTTCGCTGCCATCAAGGTAACATGAACCTCGCCGTCACTATCCACTGATCGTAGGTACGCCTCCTCCGCTGCATCCGAGAATCTGTGTAATTCGCCGCTCATCGTGGTAGTTCACACCTCTTCAATGACGGACATTTTCTATATCAGTGGCGTCGCGTAACTTCCCTTTTTACCTGTTCAACAACTTTGAAAACGTTATTTAGGGTCATGTTTACATTCAAATCAGTTTCAAAAGGCATAGGGTCTTCTAGTTTCACTGATTTGTATCCATTGGAACCAATATTGTTTTGTTTGTTTACGTTTTGAGAGTTGTTGAACAGGTAGATTGAGGTTAGGGTGACGCCACTGTTCTATATAGGATTTTGTCACGTACAATCACGGGTGCAAACCATCCAAATGGGTCAAACAGCTTCGCTGAATCCGAGAGTAGGTGATGTTTCGTGTTTGGTCCGTCACCTTAAATGTGAACACATCTTCTGTTGGAAGCTAGTGTGTTCCGAACGCCTTCACAATATTCTGTTCGTCGGGGAATTGAATCGGCATTGTGGTGCTGATGGTATCTGTCAGCGAGTCGAGTACTTCAGTTGAACTCCATTTACGAAGAGTAAACCCCACCTTGCCGAGGATTTCGTTGATTTCCTTGATAACTCGTACCGCTTCCTCCGCTGAATCTGCGCCTGAAGTTAGATCATCGACGTATGTATGCTTCTTGATTCTCTCAGCAGCTTCCGGGTACTGCTGCCATTGCTAGGAACTCTGAGTTCTTAAGACCGTAAGTGACGGTACGGAGACGAAAATGCTGATTCGGCTTGTCAGGATTCTCGCCATACGATGCATAGGTAGTCCGTATTAGAGAGGGTGTAGTATAGACCCTCTCTAGTCCGTATTTTAATGATGCACCCACACCTGGTGGTACATCTTTTCGACATCCGCGATGAATACCACTAAGAACAGCATCTAGTAGCATATCGTCGTGGTGGCAGAAGAAGCATCGAAAACCACTCGAAGTTTTGTGGTTACGCTGTCCTTCTTTACAACGCCATGGTGGGGCAAGTAGTACGATTTCGAACAGTCCACGTCGATCTCCGCCAGCGGCACAACCTCCATGTGGCCCAATTGCTGGTACTCTTGCATAAACGATAGCCAGCTGTCGTTCTCGAATTGGCGCTCCATCGCTCTCAACCACCTGGTAGCAGCGGTCAGCGAATTCCCGAGTTTGAGCTTTGAATCATCCATAGGCAAACAGACGATAAAGCGACCTTTCTCTGCGAGCGCGTGAGGGTGGAGTTCGACTGTAAACATGCATAAGGGTGTAAACGCGATGATCGATTCTCTTCGTCAATTTTCTCTTTTGTTAATAACTCGCTAGAATTAACGTTTCTCGATGCGTTTGCTGCTGTTTTTGATAGCCAATACAACCTGTTACATCTCTGCATTGAACATATTCTAGAAAATTGTTTCGCTTAGCTGTAGCAATGCAAAGAGAAAATCGTTGAAGAGAATCGATCATCGCGTATACGCCCTTATGCATGCTCACTGTCGAGTTGAACTCTTCAACCACCCCTTGCTCATCCTTGGTGAGCTGTTTGGGACTGTGAAGCTCTTGATCTTCCCAAAACAGACACAGAGTGCGATCGATATCAACCTCGTGATGCAGATTGAGTACCGAATGATAGGTGTGAGCGCACCCTTGCTTCGAAATATTTCCTGCAAGCATCCATCCAAAGACGAAACGCTGTGCTACAGGTTTACCGTTGTGATCCTTGACCTGTCCTGGCTCTAGTAACGAAAGGACAACATCAGAGCCCAAGATGATGTCCGTTGATCCAGGCTTGTTGAACTGCGGGTTGGCCAGCTGCAGAGCCTCCAGGCTGAATTGCTGACACGGCAGTGTTGCCATGAACGTAAGCATGAGCGACGAGTTTCGCTCCATGCTCGAAACGCGATGAGATCACGAGTGTAGCCTTGCCGGGTAGTGTCGACAAACTCTGCGTTGACACCGGTGACTTCCAGTGTACCGTTGCTACGCCTCAACCACAGTCAATAAGAATCCTCACCTCGTGCAGCTTGCCGTCACTCCCTTTGACTCGTGCCATCACTGTGAGCAGCAGCGTAACTTCAAATTTCTCGCCCAGCGATTGTGCCGAGTTGACATTCACCGATGCTAGGAGCTGATGCCGAACGAGCTTCCTGGTTTGATTGACGCTGATTCGACTTCTTCTGCGGTTGCTTCGCTTCTTGTGTGCACAGCAAAGTGTGATGCCGTTGCTTGCAGTCTGCAGAGCGGCGTACCGATTTCGATGGGCAAAGCCTTGCCGTTTGTGCCAACTCCCTGCGCGCCGTGATAACCATTTCCTTGAATTGCTCCTTGAAATGTGTTGGTGTGGAAAGCTTGCACTCTTATACCAACTTCTTCACGGTATCTTCTTGGATCGGCCGCTTCGTGAATGGCTGTGCACGTTTCGAGTACATCGCAACGCTTCTGCAGGAACTCCAGAAAGTCAGCAAAGGTTGGACTGTCGACATCAATAATTTTCTGCGCCCACAAAGACGTTGTTTCCCTGCCAACTTTCTCCAGCAGTAGGCGATTGAGTCAGGGATCCCTCGATTCGGATGTTGTCACCAACTTCTTCAATCCGCTCGTGCATGAGATTGCTGGTTGGTCGATGAGCTCCCGAACTAGGGCAAACACTGTGTACTTCTTCTTGTTGTAGTGCCTTACAAGTGTCTCCCAAAACTTCCTTATAATTGGCATCACTGATGGGAAATGAACTGACCGTTTTCTTCGCTTCGTCATCCAGATATGATAGCAAGTACTGCATATTCAGCGCATCCTTCAGGTCCGTTCTGCTGTGGATTGTGCTCACGAACAAATCTTTGAGGGAAAGTCAGTTCTTCCGTTTTCCTTTGAACATCGGAATGTTGAGCTGCGGAAGCTTCACGTTCAGCGGATGGTCCTGATTCGACACCTGTCTCGCAGCAGGTGCTGCACTGTTCTTGATTTGGTGCATGATCATTGCTTGATGCATCTCTACGAGCGCCCTGATCGCATCTCGCAAGTCGTTTGTCGATTCTCCTATTCCTGCGCTGCAGGTACGATGAGTAAATGCCCTTCGCCTTGAAGTAGACTTCGTCGAACTGCGCAGCCGGTAGTTGAATACCGACGCTACATCTTCCAAGCAGTGACTGGTGTTCTCTTCAATCTCGGTTTGAACTGTTTCGAAGTTACCAGAAAGTTCCGTGAGTTTATCCTTCCGTTCCTGCATCTCCTCGTAGGTGGGATTCCGAGTGTTTAGGCTTTCGGCAACGGACAACTCCCATCTCGCTTTCGCGAACATAACCTCCCGCTTCGCGCGCAAGTTATTCGCGTCGTGTGGTTCCATCTCATCTGGCTCGAAGGATCAATGCACAGAGCGAAAGTTCCAAATTGCTCTAACTTCTTACGGACATGGCAGATTAAGTCACATATTTGACTGGTAAAACCTGAATACTTATTGTAGCCTGAAAAAAACAGCATTTTGAACTTTCATGGAATGCCAAAGTTTATGGCCAATACCCAGGCATGGAAAATCATTTACATTCATTTCATACAATCATTTACATTCATTTGCCTCTAACTTTTTTCATCAACAGCATTCCACAAAATGATATGTAGAGCTTTTGTAGGTTTTGTTGTTAGCTACAACAATTGCTCATAACTCAAATCTGTATCTCTTATGCATCACGAACTAGAGCTGGCAGAACTTGTTACTGTTTTTCAGTGAATGTAAATTACATTCACTGAAAAACAGTAGTGGCTTCTGTTCGCTCTGGTTCGTCATACATCAGAGATATGGATTTGACTTGTTAACAAAAGTTGTAGCTAATAACAAAACCTACAAAAGCTATTTACATCATTTTGCGGAGTGCTGTTAATGAAAAACAGTTAGAGGCAAATGAATGTAAATGAATGCACGAAATGAATGCAAATGATTTTCCATGCCTGCCAATACCTACTATACAAGAATTTCCCAAACATTCAAGTTTCCGGGAACTAGCTAAATTTTTACCATTCTGCAGCATAGAGCAATGCCGAGCTTCCAGAAACAAGACAGTTTATTATAACTTTGCAGGAATTGATCAATGATCCAGGGAATTGATTTAACCAAATTAGGTTATCAAGCTTCTAAGATTTTGGCCAAATTTGGGAAATTGATCAAGTTTCTCGAACATAGCAAAATTTTCAAGATTTCAGGTCAAATATTAAATCTTCTGGGGCTTACCAAAATGTTTAATCGTCTGGGAGTTGTCAACTTTGCGAGATTTCGGAACTCGGCTAAATTATGAAATTAGCTGCTGCGAAAGTTTTTGAAAACTAAGGTCCATCCAACAGCGTTTGAGGGTTCTTTTGAAGATTTTATGGGATCTCAGAGCGTCTTACGCAAAACACCTTTCAAATTTGTCCAAAGCCCCATTGGAAGAGCATTTGAAGCATTTTTTGAAATCATTATAGTAAATTGGCTATAGTCAGAAGGTCTCCAATTCTCAACCATTACTGGGTGGCGCAATTCATCTTGAAAACGCATTTGATGTCAATTCATTAGTCTGTAAAAAAAAGAAACTTTCTAAAACCACCAATCACGTTGCCTAAAATTAAAAACTAAAACACTTTCCACCTGATGAACTCAACTCAACACATCTAAAACGGACTCACAGTCGCCATCGACACACACACATTCACAACGGAGACACATTTTTACTTCTTGGTCATCAGCGCGGCCTCCGATTTGGATCCCTTGAGCTGCTGCTCCAGTCGCTGTTCGCAAAACAGTGGTGGCATTTCCGGTTGCACTCCCGCACCACCGCCGCAACTGGTCGGACTCGTCACCGAGCTGCTTTCCCCGGAGCTGAGGATCGTCACACCGAACGTCGTTATGATTCCCCCCGTCGGAGTCGTGGGCGAGTAGTCCGAGCTTCGGCCCGATCCGGATCCACGATCCCTTCGGATGGGGAACTTGTTTTTGGTACAGCTCAGATCCAGCTCCAGCGTGTTGAAGCGCGGTCGTGTCCTATATTTGGTATTTTGGTTGTGGGGAGCTGCTCCGGAGCATGACGAGGACGACGATGGATCATCGTCGTCATAGCGGCTGGAGGAATCTTTGGTGATACCGTCCGGTACGTCCGTGCCGGTCGAGTGGCGGTTCAGAGCCTTTTCGTGCTGGAATAAACGGATTGGAAATTAGGCCTCTCAAAGGACCTTAACTCAACACTGTTCAACTTACCCTCTCCATCTGCCCGAGGGCAACCTGCACGCGCAGTCCAGTCTCCTTGGGGGTCGAACTCATCTCGGCCAGATTTTCCACGCTGGTCTCGTACAAACTGGCCAACGGAGGCGATCTCAGGTGCTGTGGCTTGCTGATTGCGAGACCAGCACTACCACCACTACTATCACTAATACCGTTCACATTACTATTACTACTACTACTAGCACTACTAGTTCCACCAGCGGCGGCCACCTCGCCGGAAGGGATATTATTGCGGTTTTTCTCATTATCGATCGAGTTCGATTGCGTATTGCTAGCTTCCTGATTCGCCTTCACACTGTAGTTAGTCCTACTTCCACTAGCACTATTGCCACTATTATCACCACTACTACTGCTACTCTTCGTCACTCCTGTCGTTTTCTTCGGCTTCGTTCCGGAACCAGAAGGGGACACATCCCCCCCGTTCAACGCCCGTTCAGATTCATCCGAGTGTAACCGATCGATTCGGGCGCTGGAAATCTCTCCCGGTTCCCGGTAGAAACTGCCAAAGTCCAAATCGAGGAACAGCTCCTGCAGGAATCGCCGCGAGCCGAGACGGTACGTGTTCCGTCCCAGCTGCTGGCACACTTCCGAGTACAGGCATATGTCCTGGAACGCACTGGGATGTTTCTGTTTGAGTTCCAACAGCTGCGTTCGGCTCTGCTTGCTCCACACGGGATTGGCCATCCGTTGAACGTGCCGCAGGATGCTGGTCCGTGTCCGGTCCACCTCGTCGCTGAAGGAGCTCTCGGAAGAGTTGAAGAACTCGCTCCGGCTGCTGGTGCTCATACCGGATGGGTCGATCCGCCGACGGCAGCACTGGAGACAATCGTCACGGACGTGACCAGTGCCGTTACTGTCGACCGAGTTGGCCCGCAGCAGCTTGATGGAGTCTGCCGATTCGCGATCTACGATCAGTATACTGCTGGCGGTTGCATTACCATCTCGGGAGTCCAACTCGCCGGAATAGTTTGCATCCAGTTCGTTCAGGGTGAAGTTCGAGACGTACGTACCGGTAGATTCCTCCCTCGGGAATAAGTCCTGGATGTTGCGTGGGAGACAGATACCTGCAAAGAACGGCGGATGTTGCAGCAGTCCAAAATTGTCCAACAAAATGTTCATTCTTACCTGCATAGCAGGGACCTCTGACGTCCGCCTGCAGTTGAAGTCTCTGATGTTTGAGCCGTATGCTCTGCCGGAATTCATCATACCTGCAAGAGAATTCCATCGTTTTCAAACAATTCAAACCATTCGATTTATCCCTCGCAAAACTTACCCCATCATGGCATTGAGGCTATAATTCCGGTCCAGGCTACGGACCTTTAGCTTCCTCTGCTGCTCGGTAAGGGCTTTGGAAGCCCTCAGTCGGAAGCGTGATATCGTCGAAGTGGATGATGACGACGTTACGCTGGCCATGGTATCTTCCATCATTTCCGCCAGCTCGTCCGCCGCCGATTCGGACAACATGGGCCGGCAGCGTCGCCGCAGTATCCGCATAGTATTGTAACCATACAGGTCCTGAGCCGTCATAACGATGGATTCCTTCAGCGGCAGTCCGGTCAGCGATATCCGCCGGTATTTTTCCTCTGAAGACAACTTCTTAAGATCGATCAGATTCGAACTGCTCGGAATGGGAGACAGTTGACCCTGCTGCATCATGTCCGCGTGGAACCGGCCGCCAAAGATCGATTCGTAGCTACTCACTCCGGACGTGTTGGAATCTGTTCCGGAATTATAGCGGGTCCTTGGGTGTGACGAGAGGACGGGATTCTGATTGGAAGTCGCCGGTGCCGTCGTACTCATCAGACTGATGCCGTCGGTCGTTTTCGATTCCGATAGGGAGCGTTTGTGTTTCTGGGAGGCTGGAGTTCGGTTCGTAGCAAGGACACTTTCTGGGAGAGTTTTCGAGCGGGAAGTAGTCGTAGTTGGGCAATCGCTTTGGTCTTCACTGACGGAGGTGCTCTCCATCCTGGATACGATCAGGTGGTCGTCGACTTCGGTTGGCAGGAGTGGCTCGTTCGTTTCCAGCAGAGCCGTGTAGTTGTACGGCGGAAATTCGTAGTTGTGCCGAACGGGAGTATTGAACTGCTTTGGGAACCATTCCTCCGGTTCGTAGACGGGCCAGTAGGTGCTCCTGTCATGTCGGACCGATATCCAGTCAAGTTTTTGAAGAATGTCGGCCCCCATTTGGGTGGTGGCAATCAGGCAGAGGCAATTGAGGGCAGTTGATCGTACAGAGTAGACTTCGGCGTACTTTGCCAGCTGTACGAACTGTTCGAATACGGTCGCGGGGAAATCGTTCAGGTAGGAAACTCCCTCCTTGCAGGTGCAGAAGTGACCAAGTGCCCACATGGCTGCCTTAAGCGTCATAACGTCCTTCTCGTTGCTGCATTTGGCATGCAGAAGGGTTTCGATCAAGTTCTGTAGATCACCGTGCATCTGCAGATTGGACATGCCCTGCGAATTCTGCACCAGTTGGCCGTACAGATGTGGTAACATGTTCGGAGCGGTGACGCCAGGCCGCTGAGCGCAATGTCGGCGGCTGTACGTCCCATCCTCGGTTTTGGTGTGTTGCGTCAGGTAAGCGTGGATGTCGGCCTCGATCAACAGGACATATCTGAGGATCAAAAGTAGAATAAATCATTCAATGCTCAACGGAACCTTCCCACCCAAAATGTTACCTCTTATTGTAAACCTTAACCCACACGTCAATTTCCTCCTTGATCTTCGCATCCGGATGGTTCAAGCCTCTCGGTATCGAATAGAACTTCATCATGACTAGCTTTCCGTGATCGGCGACCCGTTCCAGATTGGGCCAAACGTTGACCAGTTCCTCAAGGTATTCCCGTTCGTAGCAGGCCTCTTCCAGGATTTCCAAGGCGGCCAGTTGAACGCACTTGGCCTGACACTCGTCGACCAGCTTCAGCAGAATCTGAACACCCCACACCTCGAAATCAGGCAGGCGAGCCCGGAGCAAAACCCGCAGGAACTGCGTAGCATACAGTCGAGCTTTGGCCGAGGGATGTTTGAGTAACGCTCGCAGCAAGATCTTCCGCGGTTCACCGTCCAGACTGTAGTCCAGCCCGGAAACGATCAGCTTCACGTAGCAGATGTGATTGGTTTTCGTAACGATTGTCGTCAATCTGGAAGAAATGGACATTTGTAGAATCTGTAACGCGTCAACCCAGGGGAACTTACTCCTTGAACACATCCGTATTGGTCAGCACGCTGAGTCCCTTCTCCGTTCGACACATTCGGCCGATGAATAGGAAGTACTGCTGACACATGGTGCTGGTCATGTGCTGCGGGCTGAACAGACACTCGTGGGCTGACTTTTTGGCGTGGATCGACATCAACTGGCGGCTGATGTCCGTGAACAGATCGGTCAGGATGCGAATGCATTCCAGCTATGGAAAAGAAGGATATTTAGATTCATGTTTACACCCACCGCAATTGCGAACCTACCTCCTGACTCTGCTGCAACCAATCGAGCAGTTCCAGCGCTGCCGTGACGTACGCCGGCAGTTGCCGGCTGTTTCCGGTCAGATCCTGATGCGAGAAGCGATTGTTGCTCGGTTTGAAGTAATCGATAATCCTCTTGATGAACCGCGTATTCTGATCGTCCAGCTTGCTTCCCAAACTGTCCGATCGGAAGATCGTGATCACTATGTCCCAGTCCCACATGTTCGGATCCTTGTTGCCCAGCACATTGGAGTCCCTGATGAGTCGTTCGTTTTCTTTGAGATTATCGAAAAATTGAATGAAGCGAGCCCGCTTCAAACTGGACCGCTTCACACCGTTGGCCTTTCCCGCTGTAACCGTGGCGCTGTCGTCCAGCGTAGATCCATTCTGCAGGGGCAGACTTCCCGTGAATAGATAGCCTAGGCGACCTCCGACACCTCCTCCACCACCACTGGAGCTACCCGTCGATCCGACCGAATCGTGACGAGTGCGTTTCGTCCCGAACCCGGAACTGCTGTCCAGGGTCGCGTATTTGGTTGCTGGCAAGGGAACTGTTTCCTGCAAAACAAAAAGAACACCCTTGAGGGCTCAATCGACAGATGGGACATTTCCAAAATTACCTGCGAACTCAGCTCCCGCTTGAATATCCTAGTGTTGATCAGTTCCCCGCTCTGGATGATGCAATCGAGGAAGAGCGAACAGGAAGCCGGTCGATTTTGTAGCATTTGATGGAACTGCTGGAGGGCAGCGATGGCCGCCTTGGCCTGATGGTTTCCTTCCATGGCTTTCGAGATTAGAGTCGGCAGTGTAGAGGATGGCGTTGCGCTGCAAATTTCCGCCGGCAGCAGCAGGTGCATTTGATGTAGGATTTTCCCCAGCAGAATTGTCGCACGAACCGAAATGAAGGTATCGCTCGAGATGATCACCTCTACCAGGGCATTCAGCAGCCCATTCTCAACGAAGCAGTAAAGGAGCAAAGCGAGGTGAATGTCGGAAACGTTTGGCACACGACTGGCAAGCGATGGAAGCACGGAGGTTCCTTCCGCTGCGACAAAACCCTCGTTCAGACGCCATGAGTCCTGGTACTCGGCCGGATCGACTACGGACAGCGCAACGGAATACTCGTCTGTCCAGACGAGCTGTGGAAGACCTAGCAATTCGTACAGCAGATCCAGCACAGCTTTGCGCACCTCCAGTTGATTCAGGTAAAGTATATCAATGATTGCTTTCAATCCCGACGGCTTCGCCGGATTACAAAACTCGATCGTCCCTGCCCAGCTGCGCAACACCGACAGCAGCGCCAGTCGACTACAGGTAAACCGTAAGTCGCGAGCATCCTTGTTTTTATCCATAATCCCTAGACGATAGGTGAAATCACAATACGGAGCACCCAGGCAGTCCAGCCGGACGCCGGCAATCTGTCGAGTTTTTGGCCATTCCAGCAGGTGCAACAACACTCCACACAGACTTTCCGCTATCCGCGGACTGTGACACTCCAAAACATTCCGGGTGATTACACTCACCCCACCGCAAACTATCAGCAGCCTCGGATTCAGAACTCCAAACTCGCACAGCGTAGCCAAACAGGCCCGCAACATTCGATCTTCCCTATCCATCCGCACGGTTCTTTCCTCGGCTCCGCTTTCCCCCAGTGACACCAAACACCGCACCACGGCAGGGCTCACAAATTCCGGAGCAACCATCAGTTGCTTCCGGACCAACTTGAGCGCCTGTACCCGTTCTTCCTCGTTCTTCAACAACACATCCAAACTCCTACAGATCAAATGTCCCAACTGAAGTTCATTTAGCGCCCTCACATCCCCCGGTGCCATCAGCAGATGGCGCATCGCTCTCAGCGCTCCAGCTCGGATTTGCGTAAAATGGTGCACCAGCGAGGCGCTGATGCAGTACAGCCACTCCGACGCGGCAAATGCCAGAGCACCTTCCCGTTGCTGCAGGAGCCGCCTCTGGGGACTCCCACTGATCAGCAGCGGACAGCTGCCGAGAGTGTTTTCCTTTTTCCATCGTTCGATTAGTTTCACTAGTCCATTCAGTAGACTGAGTCGTTTGTTTTCGTTTGTTGTTCGGGCGCTGAGGCCCACGTAGATGTCCTGAGCGTTGTCCCGGATCGTTTTGGCCAGATCCAGACGGTAGCAATCTTCCGGCGCGGGGCGACCTGCAACAGATGGGAGGGAAGGGAAAGTTTGCGTTAGCTTTGGCATTGACATTGACATTGTTTAAGTGAATTTAGATAGAATACTCCCAAGACCCAGGGAAGTCTCAGCACCCCAAAAAAAAATATGCATGTGTGATCTACGTGAAAACATAGGTAGCTTTCGTCCATACTACCTTTCTCGGAACATTTACGTTAATGTCATGCCAAAAAACACTGGCGCGGTAACCACAGAACGGTGATAGAGGAAATGCTTCACCAAACTCGAGCGTCTGTTCACCATAGAGGTGCAGACCTACGCGACGAAATAAGGACTACGATTGGAAACTCGGAAAATGTAACTGCAAATCGCTCGGCTCCCCGCACTGCGATAGGTTAATCTATGACGATCGAAGTCGTAGCACTGCAGGAACTTAGCTGGACGTGGCAAAAGGTATGGAAAAGCGGGCATCGAACTGCTACTTTCTATCAGAGCTGTGGCACCACCAACGAGCTGGGAACCGGCTTTGTAGTGCTGGGTTGCAACCGATCAACGCGAGGATGTGCAAGTTGAAGATTAAGGGCCGTTTCTTCAACTACATCATCATCAACGTGCACTGCCCACACGAAGGGAGAGCCCATGACGAGAAAGAAGCTGGAACAGGTGTACGACGGCTGTTCGCAACGGGACGTCAAGATCGTCATCGGCGACATGAACGCTCAGATAGGACGGGAGGCAATGTACAGACAGGCAATTGGGTAAAACAGCCTGCATGCCGTACTGCATAGCACCCTAGCTGCTGTTTGGAATAGTAGCGAACATATATCTAGATAAACAAAAAGTTCTATCTGCTTTGATCGATTCTCTTCATCGACTTTCTCTTTTATTAATAGGTCAACTGCAAAATCTTTCTTTGTTATATTTGACGTTTTGGATCAAACTATGGGGTAAAATTAACGCGAAATCTATTAGCATAGCAGTGGTTATCAGAAGAGAATCAATCAAAGCAGATAGGACCATTTGAAATGTCCGTCGAGATATATCTACACCTATTGATCCTAATACGTCTCAATCCTCAACCAGCACTGTGAAGGCTCTTATCGCAACGCACGTGTATTAGCGCAGCAGGAAAAGGTCATCTATTTGCACATCATCCTTTTCGGAAAAAAAATCTTGCAGTGCCACAATGTCAAAATGTGAAAATATACTATCATCAAACGAAAGAAGCACAAGGCCATTCCGCGAGCAGCACTACTAATAGCCAGCATTGTTCGTTAACACCCGCGCGCTTCAATCGTGGCTCAAATACCGGTCAACTTCGCCAGTCGCTCGGTAGACAAAAGAAACCCAAATAACAGCAGAGACAAAAACATTCGAAGAATTTCGTCAAACACAGAATTTTATTTCAATGGGATCCCATCGAAAACAAATGTTTCCTCTAAGGAAAACATCGACGACGACGACGACGCGAATTCGTGGGAGTGTGGCTATGCGGCTATTAAGCACAGACGACAACAATATCACCGCAAAACAAAACTGTCACACCACCACCGTTTCGGTGGAGATTCCTGAAATAGAACCCGGGGGCGAAACACGGATTTCAGGTTCTGTAGATAGGCGGAATTCTTCCTGCCAGTCGCCGCCTCAAACGAGATCGAAACGAGATGGACAGCTTTTCAAATATCGAGTCCACTCGCCACACGTACCGTGGGGGGGGAAGGGAGGTGTCGGGGTAAATAGAGCGATAAATGGAACTGGACCATAGACTTGCGTCAATTTGTTTGTATAGCCCTAAACATGCGTCATTCGAAAACTCCCAGTGCTTGCAGGTTCTCACCTCGAGCATCGTCCACAGCTCATGCCTGGAGAGAACTACCGCTCTTATTGCTTGTTTTGTTCACGGTGTACTTAACCCATTAACGCCCAGTGATCTTTTTATAGATCAGCATTTTTTTCTTTTATCATGTCTTAATGTTCCAAGGAATTTCAAATAATTTGAGAATATTCCTTGGGATACCCCTGGAAAAAAAATGCGAAATTTAACAGATCTCAAGGTCTTGTGAGGTTCGTAGCAGTGTTGGCTAAAATCAGGATAAGAAAATCAAAATCAGCTATCTTTCAAGATCAATAGGTATCACCTAAAATCACAGGCACCAATATCACAAGCCATCATCATCGAAAATCGTAGGATTAGCAGATATGTTAAATTCTAGAGTCTGGGGCATTCCGGACTTCAAGTCAGTATTCCGGATGGAATTAAAATGATGGCTTCCACAAATCCAAGATGGCAGACCAAAATCCAATATGGCGACCTCCGGACAACGAATATTCAACTAAACCTAGGCAATATGGGTATCTACGGAATGGGCTTGATGAGTAGAAGCGGAAAATCAACATCCGCCATTTTGGAATTCAATATGGCGCACCAAAATCCTATATGGTGGCCTCCGGACAGCGAATATGCATCTAAGCCCATGCAATATCGGTATCTACGGAATGGGCTCGATGAATACAAGCGGAAAAACGACATCCACTGCCATTTTGGAATTCAAGATGGTGAACCAAAATACAATATGGCAGCCTCCGGACAGCGAATATGCATCTAAACCCATGCAATATGGGTATGTACGGAATGGGCTCGATGAGTAGAAGCGGAAAAACAACATCCACTATCAGCTCTATACTTTCATCTCCGCATCTATCGTATAAAAATTACCAGTTTAGTCTGTTATTTGAAATTAGCATCTTCAACTAACTAAAAACAAATTTGTTTTCTTCCCGAGCAGGAACGAATATCTCGAAACCTTAAATTGGTATAGGTGAGCCTGACAAAAGAGGTAAAATACCATAAAATAATAGCTAAAAAGTAGAAAGGTCTGTGCCTAGTTGCACGAACGGAAGCTTGACGTAGGACCGCTAGTGGACGGAACAAATGTGAACATTTAGTTCTTTTAATTGATCAATCGTCATTATTAAAGTGTATTCAATTCACCCCTCCCTCCCCATGGCTAGTTTTTGCACCTTACTGTTGGTGGGCGGGCTTAAGTTCATGCTTTATAGTGGAGTGTTGGAGACGGTAGGTTTATGGTCGGCGTTGCTGGCTCATGCTGCGATAGAATGGCGCCATGGGCAGGCAATGGGGATTACTAAGCTTCCCCTCTCTGATAAACCACTGCATTAGAGAACCAAAGATCTAGTCTAGCAGTGATAGTATCACACTTGTTACTCCTTCAATTGAGAGCCGCGTCGTAGTACGCTTACGTATAGGCACTGACGTTGGGTGTGATACTGGCGGGTTTTGCCGCAAATCACTCTTTATTTTTTTTTTACGCAGATAGATTTATTTGGGTTTGCAAGGGAATTATACTATTGAAATATTTCAGAAAGTGCCCATCGGTGCTCCTTCTATTTGCGTGACAAGCTTTCATTGTTGTTTTCATTGAAGTATTGCTCAGGAAACAATGTTAAACATCATTTTTGTACATGGTATTGTAACTTATCTTATATGTGCTTCATTTTGATTTGGGATAAGTGTTTGAACTATGGCTCGGGATTTCCACTGTGGCGTGCTTCTATTGTGACATACCCATATGTATTTTTGTGGTGCGACATAGTGGAAACGTGAGAGCGTAATTGGAACATATACCCTATATAATTAAAAAATCAGCTAGGAAACTTACTTCAAAATTAAGCATTTTAGTCACATGAAGGTGTTACCTGGGTCGAACTAAGATATAATAAATAGGTATAGTCTTAAATCAAAAGTACTTGAAACACCTTTAATTTTAGATTACAAGCACAAGTGCAGGTACTTAATAAAGCATGGGTTATGATTGATAAGATGAATTAGAGCTTTTAATAATTTATTAAATTAGACTAATGAGATATCATAATCATCAAATGAACTTAAATAAGAAACTTCAGAAAGTCTAATGACATTAAGTAGATTAACAAAAGAATTAGGATGCGGGGGTCCGCTTAGGGAGGCAACTAACCTTTAAAGTTGTGGAATAAATCTTCTTATTTGGTCTTGAATTTTAAAAAGAAAACACAACCAGACCAATAGCATTAAGCAGATTAACGAGGAGAGCAATAGTTTAGGAAATAAGTAAAAGTAGAGGTATGTGACAATTAATAGCTTTTAAACTTTTGGAGGCATTGTATTCCCCTGAGTTTGTTGTACTCGATTACTATATTATTTTCTCAATACGCGAAATCTCTTATATATGCGGTTAAAGCATTTGAGTTAACTTATTTCTTAGTGTTCAAGTACTTACATTTGTAAACAGCAGTCAATGTTAATCTATGAACTAAACTATACGTAAAATCGATCTTTCCTTATGCGATATTGATGCATGTTTAACTTTTCGCGGCTGTCGGAATCAACGCGCCTACGTCTACGGAGCTTACGCAGAAGTTATTCGCAATGCGGTAGAGCTCACCAAAAGTTTTTTTGAGCTTCTGTAGTATAGAATTTGTTCGGTATATCGGAGGCGAACCAGCCTAAGGCTGAAAGCCTCCTAAATAAAGCTAAATTAATTAATTAATGTTCGGTACGGTCGCGAAATCTTGAAATGATTGATACGTGCGGTAAAATAACTAAATTGAGACAAAGCTCAACAGTAAAATAAGTAGAATACTTAGGGAGGAAACCAAAATTAATCAACTTGCCAACATAGGCTATCACATTTATTTTGGTGGCACTCTTTAAATGATAATAAGCCTTTTTTCTCGCTTCGGTTGTCTCGCACGGCTTTCGGAATTCGCGCGGTTTTCGTAACTTACATAATTTAGATATTTCGTTCGAAACGGATTTACTTATTCAATCGGTTTACTACGCGGATGTATCTACGCGCACACGTCACAGCATTTTTTCTATAACTATCTTGAAACAATACATACGGAATCCAGTGTTCAAGCGGTCAACATAGGCTAGTCCTTCTGCTGTATTGTCAAAGATAGAAGCAAAATTTATTGAAATGTGTCAAGTCTTGAAAACTAAGCTGTCACGCAGCTCCAGCTT